TCCCAGAGGGCGACAGCGAGGCGAGCGGCGACGCGCTCGAGGATTTCGATTGGGACGGCGTCGCGACCGACAGGGGGCGCGTGAGGGGGCCGCAGGCCGCGCCGCCGCCGTCGGCTCGCGCCGTTGCAGGGCGCTCACGCGGGCTTGCCGATGCCATACCGATATTTCTCTGCGCTCGGCTGGGGTGTCCGATCTGTGGGGGGATAGCGTGCTCCTCATCCATGCGCGCAGATAGCGCAGCCCTGCCAGTCGCGCTGTTATCCTGGATCCGTTCGCTCTTAATCGAGCTCTGCGTTGGCCCGCCTCGCCCCGCTCGCTCGTAGGCACGGAACAAGCATAGCTGATTTTTTTCTCGGATTACCGAATCAGCCCCACTAGCGATGAGTGGTCGTTTCTTGTTGTCGAATGTCGTCCTGTCGCGCCTTCTCGCCCGGAGCGGCCGATCGGCTCGCTGAGCGAGCTGCAGGCATTCTGCTCCAGGTTTCCTGAGAGAACGCAGCTCCCGCGCATTTCCGTGCCCTTCTTGCTTGCGAACATGACCTGCGCCGATGGCGTTTTTCGCGGCTTCGTCTGCCACCTCGCCCCGTCTCCTGGGGCGCGGAAGTGGATGCCCGTGGACTCCTTCGGCCGCGCCCTCGTCTTTGGCCCAGTCGCCGCTCCGATCGGAGAGCCAGCGTTCCCGCGCGGTCGACGTCGGGAACTCTTGGTCGCTGGTCCGAAATAGCGTTTCTGTTTTTCGATTCGACTACGACGACGATGTCGACGTCGATATCGATTACGACGTCGATGACGACGTCGATTTCGATTACAGCTTTTCTGTCTTCTCGCCAGGGCCAGCGAGTGGATGACGGACCAGCAGTTCGCCTGGTGGACGCTGGTGGCGCTGAATCTCGGCCAGATCTCCCGGGAGGCGCGTCGTTTGCCGTCTGGGGGCTCGCATCGGCGGCTGGTCCGCGTCGCTCCTCGGAGCGCCGCTCCGACTTCGACTGCGGCATCGCATCGCTGCGCGGTCGGCGCGGCCATCGAGGGGCGACGAAGCCGCGCTGCCGATGCGAGCGCTTCAACGGCGACGCCGGAGGCGTGGAGCTTCATCTTCAGCGTTTACTCAAAGACCGTCGTCGGCCACATCTACATGCGCGCCGCGTACCTGCCCGGCACGCCCGCCGACTTGGCGGAGTCGCTCACTTCTGCAGGAAGCCGCATGGTCATGTTGGAGCGCGCGACGCCCGCGATCTACCGCGTCTGAGTGGCGGCCGCGGTTGACTCTGCTGGGCACGTCGCGAGAGCGTTGCGATCGTTTCTCAGGCCGCAGTCATTGCGGTGGCTGCGCCTGCCTGCCCGCTGCTTGCTGCCGCCGCTTCAGGGCCACTTGCTGCCGCCACTCCTGAGGGGGGGGGGGGGGGGGGGGGGGGGGGGCGATGCGACGGTCGGCCATGCTCCTTTCTTTCCTGCTATGCTCGCATGCTACCCCATGCTGTCTCCTCGCCATTCCCTCTGTTCATATGAGTTATTTCAGTGTTTGTTGTTACTGTTCCCCTTCTACTCTACACTCTCCCATGTGATTCCATATCGCCGTTCCTCTCACTCCCCTGTTTCATTGCGGACAATACTGTTCCATTCTACTCCACCCCGCCTTCGCTGATTTCAATCGGAACCAGCGCAGTTCCTCTAGGCACAATTGGCCAGTGCCGCGCTGGGCGCTGGCGGCATCGTGGTCACCCCCGTCATCGACGCCACATTTTCAGCTGCATTTGATCAAGGATTGCTGCCAGGGCAGCATCTGCCCACCAACCCCCCGCTCCTCGATCACATGATCGCCGCGGCGGCCGCGGCACCGCGCATGCTCGCGGAGGCGCAGCTCCTGCAGCTGCAGATGGAGCAGGGCGTTGATTACCCTGCCTTCCTGAAGACAACGGGACTTAACGGGATATTGAAATGGGGTTTTCACGAGGTGGGGCCCCGGGGGGCTCTGCATTGCGTGCCAGCGGGGTGGGCGGTGATCAGAACTCAGAAACATTGCCGCTGGCAGCGTCGCTCTCCCCGCCCTCCTGAGAATTTGGGGGTCGAGCATTCAGCGCTCCGTCGGTTGGCGCGCCCTTCCTCGGGAGGCGTCAGCCCTGCGCTGGCGCCGACTCTGCCCAGATCGCGGCCCGCGGGACGGCTTGGACAGAGTCGGCGTGCTGCGCGCGCGCGTAGTTGGCGCCTCCATTGCGACTGTCCGCGTCAGAGGACGCGAGCGCTTCCTGGAGAACCAGGCGTTGCTTGCCCTGGCCAGCGGTCGATCCACATACGCCCGCGGTTTTGATCCGCCAGGCCGGCGGATTGACATAGCGCGGGCGGCTATTTCCGATTCGATATGGTTGCGCTCGGTGTCTGATACGCTTGCGCATCGGCAAGCCGATGGGTGGGTTTCTCCACGGTCGCCGTCTGCACCCACTAAGTTAATCATTATTTTGATGTCAACATCAAGAGGGCGATATCGGCTCTCTTCATGCAGGCAGCAAAGCATCGTAGAGCGGCGGCCAGGTCCTTGCCGACATCGCGAGTCGCATCGCGGAATTCGCCAAGCCGCATGCGCGCCCCACCTTCGCCCCGTACCCGATGATGGACCTTGCTGGTAATGATGCGGTGCACGTGTTTCACTAAACTCGTATGCTCAGAACGAATGGATGCCCCCTCCCCCTCTCTCCCCTCCCTTCTAGTCTGGAGCTCCTGCGCTCCTCCGCATTTTGATGTCCCACGGCCGCGGGTGCTGCCGCATGACCCTGGCCACTGGTTGCGCAACTCGCTCGTGCGCGGCAGCGGGTTCAACCCGAACCCGCCCCGCGAGCGCGACGTGACGGGCCTCGAGTTCAAGGCGATGGCGCTCCTGGCCGCGACGCGGTGCATTGGAGGGCGGGCCGAGGAGTTGCGCCGGTGGGGGTAGGAGCTCTCCCGGAAGACCGAGCTGGTCTGGGAGTGGGTGCACGACGCGCGGCGCCGCCCGCGCCAGGCCGATGCGCCTCGGCGCTGGGGCTGACTGAGGGGGGAGGGGCTCCTTCGTCGACGGGTGCCTCAGGGTAGACCTGAGTAGTGCGTCCGCACTACGGTTCTGTTACGGCCTTTGAGAGCGCGCTCCCCCGATCAGCGCGCGCCACTTGCATGATGTCTCATCTTCCTCCACCTACTCTTAATGTTCCGTTCAGCCTTCCCTGCCTCTTTTGCTCCGTACCGCCCCATAGTACTCAGTCTCTGCTTTCCTGTCCCCTCCCGCTTCATCCTCCCCCATAACGCTCCACGCGACTCCACTCCGCCAACCCAGCCTCCAACAATGTTTTTCCGCTTCATACTAGTCCATTATTCGTGGTTCTCTCCCCCCTTTCCTGCTCGCATCTGCTTCCTCCAGAATCGGGCATTCGTCCTTCAGGTGGTTCCACTTCCGGGGCGCCGCCCATGGGTTGGGCGCATGGCGCGCCGCGCGCCCAAACCACGGGCGGATCGACGATGAGGCGAATCAGCCCAACTCATGGGCGGTCGGGAATAAGTATTCCTGATGCGCTGACCATTTGTTGGACGCTCGGCGCGCCGCGCGTCCAACCCATGGGCGGGTCGACGACAGGGCGAATTGTTTCAACCCATGAGCGAGCTGAAAATCTGGCATTCGTTTCAAGTGTTGCGACACTGGGGCGCCGCCCATGGGTCGGGCGCTCGGCGCGCCGCGTGTTCAACCCATGGGAGGGTCGACGATCAGTCGAACTAGTCCAATCAGTGGGCGGGCTGGAAATCGGGCATTCGTTTCGTGGGCGTTCTCTTCCCGCGGCGCCGCCCATGGGTTGGGCGCTTGGCGCGCCGCATGTCCAACCCGTGGGCGGGTCGACGATGAGGCGAATTAATTCAATTCATGAGCGGGCTGAGAATCGGGCATTAGTTTCGGGCGTGGCCATCCTGATGCGCCGCCCACGGGCTTGGCGCTCTGCGCGCCGCGTGTCCAACCCATGGGCGCATCGATCATTGGACGAAGTAGTCCAACTCGTGGGCGGGCTGGGAATCGGGCATTCGTTCAGTGGGCGTTCTCTTCCCGTGGCGCCGCCCATGGGTTGAGCGCTTGGCGCGCCGCACGTCCAACCCATGGGCGGGTCGACGACAGCGCGGCCGGCGTCGCTGGCACGCGCGATATCTTGATTGCGGAATCAGGGCAGGATGACTGGGATAAGCAGGGGAATAGCATCAGCGCCGGCGCGCAGGCGGACACCTCGTCGCCTCGGCCAGAACGGCGACACCATCGGGTGCCAGGCGCCGCCGACGGCGGCCGCTCTCTCTCTCTCTCTCTCTCTCTCTCTCTCTCTCTCTCTCTCTCTCTCTTTTCTCCTCTCTCTTTTTTTATTTTTGTTTTTTCTCTCTCTCTCTCTCTTTCTCTCTCTCTCTCTTTCGCTCTCTCTCTCTCTCTCTCTCTCTCTCTCTCTCTCTCTCTCTCTCTCTCTCTCTCTCTCTCTCTGTCTCTCTTTCACTCTCTGCCCCCTGTCTCGAGCCCTCCCCGCGGCCCTGGGCTCTCTCGATCGGCCGCGCATCTCCGCATGATAGGGCGCCCAGCCTGAAGACGACCGCCTGCGGGTTGCCCGCGCGCGCCGCCGCGATTCCAACCCATGGGCGAGCAGACGTTCGAACATTATGTTCGAGCCAGCAGAGGCACCCCATCCGCGAACCGCCGCCCATGGATTGGACGCGGAGCGCGTCGCGCGTGCAACCCGCGGGCGGGCTGGAGTCTCAAGCATTTTGTTTGAACGCCCGGGCACAGACTTGTCGCGCGCCATCGCCTGCGGGCTGGATTCTGCGCCCGCGCCCGCTTCCAGCGCCCGCCCCGCCGCGCCAGCGTTGTCGCCGCAGCCGTTTCTGGCCGGAACCGGCGGCCAGGGCCCCGGGCGCCCGCGCTTCTTTCGGGCGCCCCAGTGACGTCGGCGCGTTGCCCGTTTCGTTATTCGCAGTCGAGCCTGCCGCCGCTGCGCCGCATCATCGCGTCAGCCATGCCGACGAACGCCATGAAGCACCGCAACCCGAGATGCGTTTTCCTGGGTCCGAAGAAGGGAAAGGCGCGCGTCTCAGTTGCCGCTGTGCTGCGCAGGCCTGCCGCCAAGAAGACGATTGGCAAGTAGGTGAAGGCGTTGCCCAAGAACGTGAAGTACGTCCGACATGGGTCGGCTAGCGCCAAGAGCCGCATCGACCGCCAGAGCTGGTGCACGCCATTAAAAGCATTGCTCCAGATGAGCGAGAAGAAATTGATTGACCACCTGACCAAGACGAAGATTCTGAAGGATTGGGATGGCGAGAGTTGCCCCGTGTGCGGCAATGGGACAGTGCACTTTCTTCGCCGTCGGCCGGGAGACCGCGGGCGGGCGTGCAAGCGCGGGGCCGCGGGGCGCAGGGCGTGGGCGCCGCCGCACCACAGCCACCCGATATTCGAACTCCCCAGTGGTCCGCATGGAACATCGCTTCAAGACCAGGCTGCCGTGCTCTTCTGCGCGACGGCCGGGGTGAAGCAGTCCGCGCGCCACTTGCTGGCGGGCAGGAACCACAAGGTCATGGAAGGGTTGTGCAAGAGGAAGAGGCTGCACGAGGCGCGGTCGAAGTTCGCAGAGAAAAAGCAGAAGGGGATGAAGTTCGGCCAGAATGGGCACTGGCACGACATAGAGGCCGACGAGGTCGACCTCCGCAAGATGATTCCAGATTCCATCGACACGAAGAAGAAAGACGTCTCCTGGGAGCAGCGGGGCGGCGTCGTGGAGCGCGGCGACCCAGCGTCCCTGGTGCTCTGCCGCCTCGACCCATCGAAGACGGTTCGCCGCGCCCCTGGCCCGGGGGCCGCGCGGAAGCGCGACCGGGCGCCGATCGCCGCCAAGTTCCTCAAGTCCAGGAAGGTCTTGCCCCACGCGGATGGGGCGAGAGCGCACAAACTGAAGACGGACGGCGTCTTGCACGACAACGTGGCCCACCAGAAGAAGCGCGTCGTGATCAAGGGCAAGACTGCGTGGATCAAGCCCAGCTTCACCAAGGTCGTCAAGCATTGCATCCCTGACAAGGGCGACCTCTACGTCAAGGCTGGCACGCAGATCATCGACCGCGCCTGGCGGCACCTGCGCGGTTGTTTGGAGGGCGTGCCGGCCGCGGTCGGGTCTGACATGCTGCGCCGTCGGGTGAGGTCCGCCCAGTGGGCCTACTGGATGCGGGCTCGCGATTTGTGGCAGGCCACAGGGGACATGATCTCGAAGCTCGTGTGATAGGTGCTGCGCTGCAGCACGCGGGGAGCTATTCGGGGACCTTGGGTCTTTCGATTCGCGCGAGTTGCGCCGCGGGCAGTCCACGCAGAGGGCTGCCAGTGCGATCATATATGCACTTGGGAAGTGTGCAATGTGTCTCTTCGGCTTCAGAATGAAAAAGATGATTGTCCCATCTCTCTCTCTCTCTCTCTCTCTCTCTCTCTCTCTCTCTGTCTCTCTCTCTCTCTCGTCTCTCTCTCTCTCTCTCTCTCTCTCTCTCTCTCTCTCTCTCTCTCTCTCTCTCTCTCTCTCTCTCTCTCTCTCTCTCTCTCTCTCTCTCTCTCTCTCTATATATATATATCTTTCTCGCTACGTCTTCTACTACTTTCCCTTATTAAGATGGGGCCCCCGTGTGTGCGTGTGTGCGTGGGGGGGGGGGCTAGCATATGTATACATAGATGTGAGACAGCAAAGATGAAAGCCGCATGCTGCAACCCTTACGTCTGCAAAACCTAACAGTGCGCGGAAAAGCACGGGCCACTCTCGGACAGGAGCCAGGGAGAGATGAGAGTAGTGTTCTTAGTCTGAAACTGTGGAGGAAGACGATGAGGGAGAGACAGAGGGACAGAAGGAGAGGGAGAGAGGGGGGAAAGGAGAGGGAGAGTGAAAGTGACAGAGGGCGGCAAAGAGGGGCGCACCTACATGTACAGTTGCTCTTCCATACTCCATTCATGTTACATACATATATAATACATACGCATATGATTCGGAAAAGGAGATGCAGAGCGCGCGAGAGAGAAAGAAAGAGAGAGAGAGACAGGGATACAGGCGGAGATAGAGAGAGAGACAGAGAGAAAGAGAGAGAGAGAGAGATACATAAAAATATATAGCGAGCGAGAGAGAGAGAGAGAGAGACAAAAAGAGAGAGAGAGAGAGAGAAAAAACAAATTATACAAGTATATACATAAAGAGAGAGGGAGAGAGAGAGAGAGAGAGAGAGAAAACAAAAAAAAGAGGGGGGGAGAGAGAGAGAGAGAGAGAGAGAACAAAAAAAAAAAAAAAAAAAAAAAAGAGAGAGAGAGAGAGAGAGGTGGAAAGAAAGAGAGAGAGAGAGAGAGAGAGAGGAAGAGACACATATAAGTTGCACGGAGCCCTCACAGACGATCTGCTTCGCAACAGAAACAATGGAGGGCGAACGACGTCGACGGCGGCAACCACCTCCGCCCAGGAGGAGCTCGCCCGCCGCATGCAGGCCGCGCAGGTGGCCGCA